TTTTTTTTTTTTTTAATATGATTTTGAGTTTTGTTCTACATATCCCACTCTATCCAGAATCTCCTATACCAATTCCTCTCTGAGTGGTTGACAGTGGTAGCTGGGCACCATCTAGTTCTGGTCTCATAGTCATATAGGCTGAGGATCATGTGGTATACCAGTTGCTTGGACTAATTGCTTGTGTGCGTCTTTGGTTTTCTTCATTCTTCTTTGCTCTGCACGAGGAGAGACCTATGGTTGCATCTAGATGACTGCTTGCAAGCTTTTAAGATCCCAGTCACTACTTACCAAAGTAGGATGTGGAACATTGTTTTTGTGTAGTATGTTATGCCAGTTGAGCTTGATGTCCCATGAGACCGTGGTCCCGAGCCCATAGGTCCAACTACTCACTCCCTGCAGATAGCGGGCTGTAAGAAGTCACCACAACCTTGTCCCTTGTCACCTCTACTGTGTACCTGGACATTCTTACAAAACATACAAATACCCTTGTAGAAACATTGTCTGACAACCCTATACGTGGTCATGGGCACAATCCCCCTGGCCTAGACATACCTGATTGTTCAGCTTGTCCACCGTAGATCAATGTTTGCCGTCACTGACAACACAGTACTGTATGTGCAAAAGGGTTCATCTTTGTTGTCTGTATCTCCCATGTACCTCTCTATGTCTTCCTCTTTGGTTCCACTGTGTTGATCACTGACATTTAGTGTATTGGCCTTCCATTCACCCAAATCAATACTTATCTCTACCTACTTAGCAGCGCTCCCTCCCCTCCCCTGTTACCCCTGGTAACCAACAAAGAAAGTTTCCTCCCATATACAAACCTTTCCTTGACTTTTCACAATAGCAGACTAATATAGTATTTGCCCTTCTGTAATTGGCTTATTTCACTCAGCATAATGTCCGCCAAGTTCATCCACGTTGCACTGTTTTGCAGATTTAACATTATTCTTTAGGGTTGCATAGTATTCTATTGTATGTATGTACCATAGTTTAGTTATCCATTGGTGGTAGTTAAGGTTGTTGCCAACTTGGCTGGGCCTGGTTGAGTGACTGTATTTATTCCCCATGGTGAGATTGAATGTATTTATTCCCCGTGGTGAGATTGGCAGTCAGTTCCATGATGGAATCTACTGGAGCAGCTGAGTAGCTGTTTTAGGGTTCTGGTTGCTTCCAATATGTAAGAAGCAACTTTGAGGAAGATCTCCAGATTTTTGGCATGCTTGAACCTTGCATGTAGCCTGTCATGCCATGCCAATCTTGGGACTTCTGCTGGACTTGAATTAGTGGCCTGGCGTGTTGTTTGGTAACATCAGGGTAATGCCTTTACACTTGTCAATCTTGGGTTTGTCAGCCTCAGCAGCCAGCAGCTGTCTGAATAAAGAAGAGCCTATAGCTTCAGTGGTCTGGGAGCAGGAGGCAGAGCTGAAGCCCAAGTTTTTGAGGGGCTTTCACCAAGCCCCTAGAGCCTGGCACTTTGAACTTGGACTTATAGCCTCCAAACTGTAAGAGAATAACTCCTGTTTGTTAAAGCAATGCCATTTGTGGTACATTCCTGTCAGAGTGGCACTGGGTAACCAAAATACCCTTCTTCTTTTGTTAGGCACCTAGGTTGTTTCCACCTTTTTGCTGTTGTAATTAGTGCTGCGACAAACGTGAGTGTACATATCTGTTCTTGTCCTGGCTCTCAATTTCTTTTGGATATATACTTAGTAATGGGATTGCTGGATCAAATGATATTTCTAATTCCAACTTTTTAAGGATTTGCCATACTGCTTTCCACAGTAGTTGTGTCATTTTACAGTCCCGCCAGCACTGTATGAGAGTCCCGATTTCTCCACATCCTCTCCAACATTTGTTATTTTCTGTGTGTTGAACTTTGCTATTAGTGCTAGGGCCATATAATATCTCATTGTTGTTTTGATTTGCATCTCTCTTTGACGGCATATAACAACAGTTTTTTTCTGAGGAACTTTATAGTTTTAGGTTTCACATTCAAGTCTTGGATTCATCAGGAATTAGTTTTTGTGCATGGTGTTAGGTACAAATCTTGTTTCATTTTTCTCCAAATGGATATCTAGTTTTGCCAGCACATTTGTTAAACAGCCAATCTCTTCCCCGTTTAATGAATTTCAGCCCTTTGTCAAAAATCAGCTGACTATAGGTTGATGGATCTACTTCTGGGTTTTCAGCTCTATTCCACTGGTCTATATGTCTGTTGTTTTACAAATACCAAAGTGTTTTGACTACCATGGCTGTGTAGTAGGTTTTGAGATCCGGGAGTTTGAGACCTACTTTGTTGTTGTTCTTCAATAAAAACTAGAAAAACCAAACTCACTGTCATCGAGTTGGATCTGACTCATAGCGACCCCTCCTTAGGTTTCTGAAAGCGGTATAATGATGGAAGTAGATTGCCCAACCTTCTGAGGAGTGGCTGGTGGGTTTAAACCACCAGCCTTCTGGTTAGCAGTCAAATGCCTTAGGCACTATGCCATCCAAGGTCTCTTTCCTTTCCATATAAAGTTAGTGATTGGTGTTTCGATATCCTTAAATAATGTTGATGGGATCTGGGTTGAGATTGCATTGAATGTATAGATAGCTTTGGGTAGAATTGACATTTTCATAATGTTCAATCTTCCTATCCACAAGCATGGGATGTTAATCCATTTATGTAGATCTCTTCTGGTTCCTTGAAGTAGTCTTTTATAGTTTTGTTTGTACAGGTCTTTTGTGTCCCTGGTAAGATTTAATCCCAAGTATTTTATTTTTTTGGTAGCTATTGTAAATGGTATTGATTTCCTTATTTCTTTTTCAGCAATCTCTGTGCTGGTGTAGAGGAATCCAACTGATTTTTGTATGTTGATCTTGTATCCTGCCACGATGCTAAATCTCTTAATTAGGTCCAGTAGTTTCTTTGCTGGATCTCTTGGGTTTTCTAGGTATAGAATCATATCATCAGTAAATAAGGGATAGTTAGACTTCTTCCTTACCAATTTGGATGCCTTTGACTTATTGGCCTAGCTAGGACTTCCAGTACAATGTTGAATAGGAGTGGTAATAGAGGGAGGCATCCTTGTCTGGTTCCTGTTTTCAAGGGGAATGGTTTCAGTCTTTCTATGGAGATTAGTGTTGGCTATTGGTTTTGCATATATGCCCTTTATTATGTTGAGGAATGTCCCTTCTATTCTTATTTTGCTGAGGGTTTTTATCAGTAATGGGTGTTGGATTTTATGAAATGCT